TGAGAGTTACGGTACTACTAACTCAGCTCAGACACCTAGTTCTTTCGAAGGACCATCGAGAAATTTGCATCAGAAGGAAAAAAGGGAAAAAAACGTTTACTAAAAAAGCAGTAAAATGCAATGTTTCGTTTACACGATAGTTATGAAGAGGCACACGCGCAGCCGCGCCCATCGCGTATTCGCAATGCTGGGACAGTACCCAACCATATAAGAACAGTCTATACGTTGTTAGGCTTGTCTTGTGCGTCTGCTGTGCACAAAAAAAACAAGAAAAGGTAGGAGTTGTCGGATACGTGCTTTTGAACTTCAAACCCAAAGTTCTAGAACACCATATATCTTGGCGATGCTTTACATATAGTTTGAAGACCCTCTAAAACATAATGCGGCTTAACTGGAAGTGATTGAAATTGGAAATAAAGGCCCAGCGTAATTCTTTTTTGGGGGGAACGCGACACTCGTATTGTAAAAGTTTTTCGATTCGGCGTGGTCATATCGGAGCAGGAGGTTGCGCAACCGCGCCCCGAGGAAACTGCGCCATATCTGCGAGAGTGAGTTGGCGGTCTGCCAGGTTGTATTCGGGAAGTTGTTTGAAGAAAAAGGAAAAAAATGAAAAATGAAGACACAAAGGAAACTCGATAATACTGACTGATACTTGACAATTGCCAAGTCTCGCTATGGTGAAGTGCTACGAGTCTTCCGTCGCGCGACGGCGCGCTTAAGGCTACCGTCGACGGAGAACCAACCCAATGAAACGTTCTGTAAAGTTACATTTTCACAACAGCGTCGCGATAATGCTGCACTTTTCGAGGGAAGAAGAGAAATTACAAATAAGTTGTTCTCAGATCATATAGTGTGGAATAGTTTTCTCAAAATTGCTGTACCCACATAGCCAAGAAGCACACGTTACGTTTAAGGAGAGCGTTTATACATTTAGCTAGGAGAAAAATTTGGTCCTTTGAGCTCAAGCTAACGCAGTGCAGTTTGCAAAAAACACCTTCTAAATCCAAACGGGTGAGTATAGTGTACAGCACGAACATGCAACCCGCACTAATGGATTCCTTTGGAGTGAGTTTGCTTGGCGTGATCAACGCGAAGAAGAACGTTGTTGGAATCAACTAGGCGCATCATGGCGTTAAAAAAAGCATATACTAGGAGTGGGGAATTACTTGTTCGCGTTGCAACTGTTGTCGGCTCCCCGGCGTACTTAAGACGGAACAAGGCGACAGTGGCGCAAACAATAAGGCTAACCAAATGTATGGTGCGAACCAGCTGGTAGTGCAAATGATCTATTCCCACTATCGCAATTCTTTTGTTTCTCCCTTGGTTCCTAAGGGTTTCTCCAAACTTCATAAAGATCGCCGTATTCAAATCGGCTGTTCCTTATAACGCTGTAAGCGCGACAAGAATCGACCGATCGAGGGTGTGCGGCGGTTGCGTTGCGGCGTCGCAGTCGAATGCTTTAGCCTGGAGTTCGGCACTCGTTTTTCCGGCACACTTGCTGACAATTTTTGAGAACTCTAACATAACCTAAAGATAGTGAGCAAGTCAAAGTACAATTAAGTGCGGAAGGGCTGGGTCAGAGCCGAATTACGCCAAATCGGTACTAAACAGGGGCCTCAACGCCACTGCTGCGCACTCTCGATCGGGATTCTTATTGTGTTTATAAGCGTTATAAGGATCCCTGTTCAGATCGGGCAATCCCTATGAAGTGTGGAGATAGAAGTCCGTCAGGGAGCTATCAATACACGCACAAACAGCATTCAATTAAACTGCTCGAAAAACTACAAGAAAATTGTTGTAAGAAGGTAGCCAGCGCTTTCTA